TCCTGGTATGGCTACCAGACCGTACCACTTCGAAGTTCGAAGGCTGTGCGCTACGATTTCACGTAATTTCGCGTAATTTATAAATCATCATGTGGTCAGGCGTACATCTACCTAGTCAATATCTAAGCGCATACACCACACCCGATCTCGCAGTGCGAGAAAGCACCTAGCCGCCCTTGCCCTTCTCAGGTCGATTCGATGGGCATGCTCGTCGTCGCTGAGACTCAGCCCGTCACATAGGCAACCCGTCGCCTGATACGAACAACCGCCCTCCAGCCGCAGCCGCTTGGCTGCCAGGCCACGCCAGCAGCGTAACCTAGCGGCCACCCCCACCTGCCCGCCCGCGCTGGCTGATGGGCGGAGTATCGCCGACGGCATGGATGAGAAATCCTACGACCCGCAACACTGGTAAAACAAAGGCGTTAAACAACACCTTTAAAAGGCGCTATTAAAGTTTGCCGCCTTAGGAAAGGCACTAAGGTTTAACGCCTCAGGAAAGGCGCTAAATTATTGGTGGAGTTCAGAGGTTAGCGCCTTTGATAATTCTCGCTCTATATAATTTATTATTTTAAAAATTGAATCCGTATTTATGTTTACATTGTCAGGATTTGACAATACGATGTCCCAAATCATGTTAATTACTTGTCAACAAATGTGTTTTGAAAGCCATGACTAATAACTTTCAGTCTAATAAATATCGGATCACTTCTACATGGCAAACCAAAATCAAAACATTTTCCGTCGTAAATTAATAACTCACATATCTTTGTAGATCATGATGGCTGTGGTGGCTTGCAGTCATTGTATAATTACATTTTGGTAAAGAGGCATGTAACACTCTGATGTCCAACCAAAATTTAAGGTAAATGTAGAAAATTTGCCTACTTGGCTGCTGGGGTGGATGGACTACCACTGCTGGTCTAAGCGTATAGGTTAAGTGCCTCAGCTATTTGACAATGAAGTATGAAATCCACGCACTGACACGCTTTGACTTGCACCTTTACTCAGTTCTCTAGTTCTCTTACACTTTCCACCGTCCTCCCGACCGTCGTCGTCTCGTCGTTCTACCCCAAACCTCCTCAAACATGTCAAGGGAAAGGGAAAGTCTAAGGCCCGCACCCGCACCTCCGGGCGGGGTGCTGCGGTACAACGACACACAACGACCAACGACGACCCGTCCTGGAACCGTGGAATCGAGTGGAAATAACGCTGAAGGTGTCGGTAAAGATGCTCCTGCCTGCTTGGCCACCGTCATGTTAGTCCTGGAGTTGGCAGGAAACGCCGCACGGAACAACAAGAAGACGAGGATCATCCCCCGTCACTTGCAGTTGTCACATTTAACTAATTTACCACTGAAGTCTCAATTGGATTTTGATTTATCGCCTCCTATTTATTTTTTTGGAGAGTTACTCTGTTGTGATGAGAAACTTATCTGTCACATTTACCACTTAAGTTACAATTAGTTTCTCATCAAACAGCAAACAAAATCGCTTACGATAAAAGGCGATGAACTCTGAGTCTGAGTGTGTTTAGTGTTTACCCGCGACTGTTTTCTTTATTCTAGTATGCAACGTTTTCTTATATCCAAAAAAAATGATCTTTTGAAGTGATTTTGCATATGTTAACTATCCAAAGCATACTCAAGTGTTCTTGCGATGTAAGAGAATTGAGTAAACGTGAAAGTCGAAGCGTGTCAGTGCGTGGATTTCATACTTCGTTGTCAAATAGCTGAGGCACTTAACCTATAGGCTTAGACCAGCAGTAGTAGTCCATTCTCCACCCCAGCAGCCAAGTTGGCAAATTTTCCACCCTCACCTTAAATTTTGGTTGGACATCAGAGTTTTACATGCCTCTTTACCAAAATGTCATTATACAATGACTGCAAGCCACCACAGCCATCATGATCTTAAAAAGTAAGTGAGTTATTAATTTACGACGGAAAATGTTTTGATTTTGGTTTGCCATGTAGAAGTGATCCGATATTTATGAGACTGAAAGTTATTAGTAATGGCTTTCAAAACACATTTGTTGACAAGTCATTAACATGATTTGGGACATCGTATTGTCAAATCCTGACAATATAAACATAAATACGGATTCAATTTTTAAAATAATAAATTATATGGAGCGAGAATTATCAAAGGCGCTAACCTCTGAACTCCACCAATAATTTAGCGCCTTTCCTGAGGCGTTAAGGTTTAGCACCCCAG